AGCATTGTCTCTGATCGYGATCCCCGCTTCACTTCTCATTTCTGGCGTGGACTCCATGAGACTTATGGATCCGAGCTTCGCCTTTCCTCCTCCTACCACCCCCAGTCAGACGGACAGACTGAGGTCACCAACAAAACTCTTGGGACTATCCTCAAGAAGTTTGTTGAGAATGACTCTGATTGGGATCTTCATCTTGCTCATGCAGAGATCGCTTATAACCACGCTATTTCTCCCGCCACCGGCATGTCCCCCTACTACTGTGRCCTGGGATATCACCCCCGTGTCCCATCTGATCTCCTCCGTCCATCTCAAATTCACCKTGACACCAAATGCCCAACTCTCGATGAGYGGGTAAAGGAGATGGATGCGCTCCTTAGCAAGGCTCGAGAGAGCATTGMTCACTCCCAGACTCGCATGGCGACCCGCGCCAACYRCTCACGCATTGACCATCCCTTCAAAGTTGGCGATGAGGTCCTTGTCGACGCACGTCACTTCCAGCCCGAAGCCGACACGCTTCGGAAATTCAGACGTCGATATATCGGACCATGCACCATTCTCGCACCCGCCGGACCCAATCATGACTGTCCAGTGAGCTTCAAATTGAAGCTCCCCGATTCCATGTAYCRYGCTAACCTACATGATGTGTTTCATGTATCCCTTTTGCGCCCTTTCAGACGGTCTCCTCCTGAGTTTCACGGTCGACCTTACCCTCGCCCTTCTCCCATCATCATTGAAGGTCACGAGGGGTTTGTCGTCTCTGATATTGCGTCTCGGCGTATGACAGATGGTGACCCTTCCCGCCTCGAGTATCTTGTTCGATGGAAGGGTTACCCTGACGAGGAGTCTACGTGGGAGCCTCTTGAGCACTTGAAGCATGCTATGACTTTTGTGCGTGCTTACGATCGTGCTCATCCTTTCCCTTCATCATCATCCCCTCCTACCTCTCGTCCTTCTACTCATCCATCTACTTCAACGACCACTAACATCCCCCCCCCCTCATCGATGGGTCCTCCTGCTCCACTGGTACCTGCCCCAGACCCTCCTCCCCCTGTGGATGTGGTTCCGCCTGT